AATAATTATACATAATAATATTAATGAAAATGATAATTTTCATTACTAATACTAACAATAAAAAATAACAAAAATAATACTATGAAAGTTACAAAAAAAAACTAAAAAAAGTAGATAATTAATGATCTATCGCATCTTAATATAAAAGGATGAATCAACTAGGGGAAGGGGAAAACGTGACCAATTTCCGCTAACCGGATTTGTTTAATTAGAATGAATGCATAGTAATAAATACAAGATTACTTTGTTTAATTTATTCATTTAGTATTATTATGATAGAATAGATATTACAATACAAGAAAAGAATACCATTTACAAATATGCATTTTTTTGTGAAAGATCTTTCCAACGAAAAAAAGCTGGCAAAATTTTGCGAACATTTTATCACATATTTCGCAAACTTATGGCGGAATTTTGCATTTTTGCGCGAGAATGAGTTTTTTGAAAGAAATGATGCAGAATTTATCGAGAAAAAAATTCGCATTTTTCCACTAAAGGAATGCGTAAAAATGCGAAATTTACAATAAGCGATTTTTCCATTTCGATTGAAACCCTCATCTAGATTCAAAGATAATTTATTAAAAAATAATTGGCAGAGCAGGGATAGCTGAGGAAAGACAGTTCAGTGATTCAGAGGTTGCTTGCTCACAAGCGGGAGGAGAAGGAAAGAGGGGTGAACGGAAGAGTAGGAAAGGGAGACGGGGGGAAGTAGGAAGGAGGAGGGGAGTCGATGTGTAGGAAGGCGGAGGGGCGAGAGAGCGGGGAGTAGGAAGGAGGAGGGGAATCGATGTGTAGGAAGGTGGAGGGGAGAGGGAGGGGGGGTTGTAGGAAAGAAGAGAGTAAAGGAAATGTATCCCGTATTCAGCTGAATATAAAATATATGAAATATAAACCTTAAAAGCTAATCCTGCTTTACAACTCTGTATGCAAATTTAGCCCACAACATTTAATAAAATCAAAATTAAAAATATGAATATATCAAATTTAATGTATCAGACAAACAAAACAAAAACCCGACTATAATATATAATATATATATTATACCTATTGAACACGGTAAGGTGTCTTCAAATAACGGTAGGTCAGACTGCGCAGGATTGAAATTGGATTTTAAATTTTTAAATCGATTTTTAAAGAAAAAAAAAATTTCGAATTTACTTTTGACTATGTTACCCCCACGATACCCATGGGTTCCCTTAAAAAAATGTCCGCCAATTTGGCCCAGACGTTTGGCCAGCTATAGCTAACCTACAAGGTACAAATATATATACATAGTAGCGAAGAGCTTTATTATAGATTAAAAAATCTTTAATTTCCATTTTGAGCAAGTGAATTTGGTTAAANAGTCCCCCTATCTATGCATACCGGTTTCCCCCCTCCCTAGTTTCCCTATCTATGCATACCGGTTTCTTATTAGGAGGTCCACGTCCCATCCTTTGTCCAGCCTTCCTCTTCGTAAACCTTCCACTTACACTCTTCCTGGCCTTCTAAATACAGAACCAATAAATTAATGAACAAATAGATGATAAGGATGACAGGATGACAGGATGACAGGATGACAGACAGCATGACTAGATGACTGAATGATAGGATGAAAGAATTAGTGGATGAGTAGATGAGTAGATGAGTAGATGACTGAATGACTGAATGACGAATGACTGAATGACTGAATGACTGAATGACAGGATGACAGGATGACTGAATGACAGGATGCTAAATGACTGAATGACAGAATGACTGAATGAGTAAATGAATAAACGAATAAATGAATGAATACATGAATAAATGAATAAATACCGCTTTCCACTCCTCTGGAAGAGTCGCTAACATCTGGTCAGCTGCTCCCTAGAGAATTCATGAATTCATTAAAACAATTTTGTAACAATTTATTTTTTTAAAGATTTTTTTAAAAGATAATTACAAGATTAAACAAATCGGAAGAACAATGGTTCTGTTAAAAACATTGTTAACTAGTTTAAGAACCCAAAGTTGTCCAAGGTACTCATTGTTACTCCCGTAGTTTACCCGCGCATGGCCCAGGGTACTCATTGATAAGGGTTCATCTCAGAGCTAATTTGGGACAGTATACCCGACCCAACTGACCTCCCTCTTTCATATTTGGAAAACAACTGCAAATATTTAGCAAGAATCTACTAATTTGGGAGAAAAATCTACCAATTTAAGGAAAAACCAACTGAAAGAAAAAATTAAAAATATGTCTGCCACTTTTGCTTTTAAAACCTTCCTGTCGCAAAGACCTGGAAAGTTGTTAGCTCTGTCGTTTACCCACGCATGGTCGTAAATTACGACTTTAGCTACTTTTCGATCGGTCCAGTCGTTGGAAACAAACAGACAAGCAGAGTACATATAGCTATTCGGATTCACATTATCATTTTTAAATTATTTCAAGGGACTGTAAAAAGCTTTGTCTGATCAAGCAGTACTTTTGAAAACGGTTCATTTTCATTTGTGTATTCTCTGCAAAAGTGACATACGCACTTCTTACTCATAAGAAAGACTGGAGAAATTATCAGAAAAAACAACGTTATCTTCCACATTTTTATGAGATAAAGGTTTCCAGGATACTGTTGTAAATCAAGCATTGCCATCTTTGAATGGTGGGCCACTTGAAAATACGCAATCAGTCCCTTTAAGTTTTTAAACTCAATAGGATCAATACAATGAAGACGACGTTCAAAAGTTTTAATTTCAAAGAAACTTTTTTTCAAATTACAAGATTACAAATAAACAAAAGAAGCTGTTAATTGACTCCTTTTCTTTGCTTTTGTGTTTATGTGTATCCCTGCTGTTTAAAAGCTTGGTAGATATTAAAATTAAAATCAGAAGTCATTGTATTGATATATATATGACGAAGACTTTTAGCCGTTGATTTGCGACAAAAAAAACATTTTCATAAAAAAATTCCTGTTTTTTGTTTCTTATTCAAAACAGTTTTTTATCATTCTAACACGGTATTTTTTATTCAATATTGCTTAAACTCAGATAATTGTAATTTCACACTAAGAAGTCAGGAATGCTTTGGTTGGCATATTGCATAAAGAGCATCTTTTACTTTCATTTACAAAGACAAGTACATAATTGAAAATTTATTGCACATAATTTTCCTATTTGACACAAGCCTTGAAGCTATTGTTATTTATCACAAGTCATAGTCATTTAACATACTTAATTGCCATTTCATAAACGCCATTGCCATTTCATAAACGCCATTGCCATTTCATAAACACCATTGCCATTTCATAAACACCATTGCTATTTCATAAGCACCATTGCCATTTCATAAACGCCATTGCCATTTCATAAACACCATTGCCATTTCATAAACACCATTGCCATTTCATAAGCACCATTGCCATTTCATTAACACCATTGCCATTTCATAAACACCATTGCCATTTCATAAGCACCATTGCCATTTCATAAACGCCATTGCCATTTCATAAACACCATTGCCATTTCATAAACACCATTGCCATTTCATAAGCACCATTGCCATTTCATTAACACCATTGCCATTTCATAAACACCATTGCCATTTCATAAGCACCATTGCCATTTCACACTAAAATCCATTAACACACTCTATTGTCATTTTTCACGCGCATGGCCTTTTAAATAACGCCACTGCTATTTAACACACTAGGCTTTAAGAAGTGCGCACTCTCTTTCCTGTAAACAATTTTAACTTTTAACTTTTGCTCTACAAGTCGGCAATTTTGAATCATTTTAAATTTTTTAAGGATTTATTATTTTTCCCTTCGAATTGACATATTTTCAAAACAATTATCCGATTTTTTTTCTAATTTTAATGTTTTATAATACCTTTCCTGGGGTCAAGTGGGGTCCCACTCAAAATTTGGGCCCCATCAGTTAAGCCGTTTTGACGTTATTGGATACAAACGGACAGACAACCAAAGTGTATAAGATGCCATTAAATATTCATGTAAATTATTCGAAATTGTCCTCTTTTCAATTTTTTTCCTCAAAATTCCAGACGGAATGGCTTTTTCAGAATTTCTTTTTTGCAGAGATCACATTGTTATGGTTCAGTGATGATTAATTTTTCAGGGGTTCAAATAAAATCTTGGCAATCCTTCAAAATTACGCGAGAGAAAAAATCAAGCAAAGGGAAAACGAAAGCGAGATTTTTTATTTGAACTTTAAAAAAAAGACGAAAGTATTGGATCCAAATCTAAAAATTGAAGAAAGAAACAACCCCTGAACAGTTTTATCTCTATAATGAAGAAAAAGTAATTATAACCCCCGCCCCCTCCCATTTTTAGATGTGTTGTCAATAAAAACATTAATGTGTGGAAAATATATTTTCTAATTATCTCCGAGATAAAATATTTTGTTTTGTTTCCCAAGGACGGAACTAATACATTGTTAATCCTTCCAGAAAACATTAATCCAACTCCGACGACGGATTAAGGTAAATCCTTTCGGAAAAATTTAAAATTCAAATGAAAAATCACCAAGATATTGCAAAAATACAAGCCAGCTGATTTTCACGAATTTAACACTTGATCGATCCTAATTAAAAGTTCCCACCATAAATATCGAATTCAACATTTTTAGATTTAAGAAAACTCCTAGAAAGTTCTGACCTCTCGCCAAAGTTGTTTCTTTTTTGTTGTTGTTCATCTCAAGATGTTGTGGCAAGTTTAAGACTTGAATTTGTGGTAAATTTTATGGACTCAGATACTAGTTGTGGTAAATTGATTTAAATCATGAGTATCATAGATTTTTGCTATTTGTAAGGTCTTAAGAATGGTTTTACATTAGTAATGTTGATTGTAAACGAAGATTATCCTATCGCTACCGTTGTTGTATGAATTTAAAAAAAATAGAGGAAAGCATTTTTTTTCCAAAAATATTCCAAAAAATGTTGGTTTTCCTGTTCATTAACCAAAACAAGAACTAATGTTTCCTGTTATTAACGCCCAGTCCTATTCACACTCCTCTTTAAAAAATTTTACATGATACAAACAATATTAAAAAGGACTGTTGTTATAATTTCAGGTTAACCTCCCTTAGAACAGGGGAAGTGAATACACAAAAGTACCCTGGAGCCCTTTATTTGTTCAATTCAAGCTTGAAAGTGCTTAACTCTGATAATTCCTCAATTGATTTATTGATTTCCTTCAGCAAAAAATGCACAAGTAATTATTTTAGAAACACCGCAATTCAAAATAATCAGATTTTAAGGGCGTTAATCTGACATTGAACTCCATAAATGGAATTCACTTGAAATTAGAATTACAAAACCTTTGAGAGAAACAGATAGTCTGATTAGGGTTTTACAGAGTCTTAACATGTTGAGTATTCGAATAGAAATAGAATGCAACAAATCATTTTGGCTTTTTATTAATAAAAAAGGAAGTATATTAACTTTAAAAGCTTAACGAGACAACAGACTTAATTTCAAATTTAAAAAAGAGTGGCCTGGCTAACTCACAACAGTACCCTTTCAAAACTTTGTATGAAGAAGCCAGAACTTCATGCAGATGACTTATCTTATTTCCCTAATCATATTTTTAAAAAATACATCAACTTGTGTTCAAAGTTATCAACAACTACAAGATTTCAATTGGATAAAATATGAATAACTTTGTCATTTTTATATGTTGAAGGTTAAAAGCAGTGCTTAGGATCCTGGATTCGCACTGGAAAAAAATGGATCCGGATCCAGGTCATTTCTTTAAGATTTACTGAATTTTTTTAACAAAAATTTTTTTTAAATTTTTCGTTTTATTTTTTTGCTTATTTTTATCCTTAACTTGATGAACCATTCAGAAATGAGGACATTTTTATAATCTCTCTTTTCTCAAAAGTTTAGATTTGGGTTTTAGGAGTAAAAAAGTTCTTTTTTTGCAGTTTTTGGTTGATATTTTACCCCTTGGATCCGGATCCGTGGATCCGCATATTTTTGCGGAGCCAGATCCGGATCCAGGAAGCCAAAATCTTTCCGATCCAACAGATCCAGATCCGGATCTGAAGCATTGGTTTAGAGGCACTGCTGTGAATTGGACATTTGTTAAGTCACTTGAAATTATGTCTAAAGTCCCTTTAATCTATAAAGCTTACAGGATTCCAAAAATAGCTATAGGAGACTTTTTACAGTGTACACAAACAAGGATAAATTGAGAAAGTTTAGAAAATCTAAATTCTTTAAAGAATATTATACAAAGATTGAAATATGTTAAATTTGTTAGCCTGTCAAAATATGAAAATATTGTTACTTCTGGTTGTCAATCACTTTTAAGGAAGAGGGATATATATTTTCTACTCCTGGTTGTCAATCACTTTTAAGGAAGAGGGATATATATTTTCTAGAAGAATCTATTTTAGCATCCATAAAAATTCAGAAAGTTGCAACATTCGACATGGACATAAAAAAATCATTTTAATTCCAAGCAAATCATTCAGATATTTCAACCAATAATCATATATAATTTTTTGACACATTCGTATAAAGATGATATTTCATAATATTTTTATTTAATTTATCGCCAATGTACATGTAACCTTATTAAATCACAGATATTTACATTGCAATCCTGAAACGAGAGATGCAATGTAACAAAGTTAAAAAATTACATATGTGGCGCAATCAGGATTATTACATTGCATTTGATATCCTCAATAATGTAATATGTCTCACGTTAGAAAACTTGCTTTTTGGTCGAAAATCTTTAAAATAATAGAAGGTGGTAACAAAAATCTGAGAAGGGACTGTACAAATAATTGAAGTGACCCTTTATGCAAAGATGACAATTCACTAAGAATGCGCAATACGTAGTTTTGTTTATATTTTTAGTTCTGATAAATTATGTAGTGTTTTTTATCTAAAACAGTTCATTTTTACTAGATTTGATCCTGCAATAAATAAGTTACAGAAGAATGCTCTAAATCTTTATTACGAGACAGAGAACTTACGGGATATAATTATCCGGCCTACCTAAAATGGAATCTAAGTAAAGGGTTTTCATTATTAGTCGACGAATTTATTTCTGATAAGGATTCGTCGCGAAACAAATTAATCGCGTTAAATTTCCCATGTGACAACTTCCCAAATGTGCAATTTCCCAAGGGGCAACTTCCCAAAGGTTAGGTTAGACCCTCTGAGGCGCCGCAGTCAGCAATAGGGGTCGAGCGCTGCGGATAGGATAGACTTGGGAAGTTGCCACTAATGAAAATACCCTTGGAAAGTTGCGGTTTGGGAAATTTCCTGTGGGAAAGTACCTAACATCTCAACTGCAATTTCTCGTAAAACAAATTTAAATGAGTTTTTCTCTGACTTGACTGAAGGCCCTGATGATGTCATTTTAACTAACTCTTCATTTGAAGCAACCATGTCCAAATCACAACTATACCCACCTTTCCTCTAAGCAAGAACTATCTAGATTTCCTCGTTTTCCTCTCAAAGAATTGATAAGTTTTAATTTTCAATATATTGATTCTACAATATCCCTTTCATTGCATCTTCTTGATTCTACAATATCCCTTTCATTGCATGTTCTGGATTCTACAATATCCCTTTCATTGAATCTTCTTGATTCTACAATATCCCTTTCAATGCATCTTCTGGATTCTACAATATCCCTTTCATTGCATCTACTGGATTCTACAATATTCCTTTCAATGCATATTCTTGATTCTACAATATTCCTTTCATTGCATATTCTAGATTCTACAATATCTATTTAATTGCATCTACTGGATTCTACAATATCCCTTTCATAGCATTTTCTGGATTCTACAATATCTCTTTAATTGCATCTACTGGATTCTACAATTTCCCTTTCATAGCATTTTCTGGATTACACAATATGTGTTGAGAAAACGGTCCTTTTTATTGCATCTTCTTGATTCTACAATATGTGTTGAGAAAATAACTGTAATTTGATCAGTCCACTGGGATATATAGTCCTCCTTATCTAATTACAGACATCAGGCAGAAATTACCTGAATCCATCTTTCTACTCACTGTAAAATATGTGTGACAGGAGCTAGCAGGAAATGTAATAAATAAATGTTATTGAAGCGCTCTTTTTGCCAATTTACGTGATTTTAACGAAAAATATTACATAAATGTTGCTGACAATCAATAAAGAAATTGGGAGCAAGAGAGTTCAAATACATCCATGTATCGATTGAACTACCAAAAGCAATTCAAAATATTGTAAACTCAGCCTGAATCTGTTACTTTATTGATCATCAACAAACACCATTACTTGTTTTTTTTTATACTCCAAAATCCATTAAGACCCTTTCTTGGACCAGTGATAACAAGCATAAAGCACTTGAATCCACCTCTCTGCTGATCACTATCAATTATATGTTACAGGATCAAACTAGCAGGAAAACTTAAAATATCTGTGTTTTAATAGCTCATTTGTTTACCAAATTGTAAATATAAGGCTTAAAAGTCCAACACTTAAAATCCTGAGGCTTACAGGTCCAAGGCTTAAATGGGTCAAGACTTAAAGGGTCAAGGCTAAAAGGGTCAAGGCTTTAGGGGTTCAAGGCTTAACGGTCCAATGCATAAATGGTTAAAGGCTTAAATGTTCAAGGCTAAGCTAGGTCCAAGGCTTGAAAGGTCCATGGCAAGAAGTCCAAGGCTAAAAAGCCCATACTAAAAGTCCTACCCTAAAACGCCAGATGCTTAAAAGTCCTACTCTAATTAGCCCAATGCTTTAAAGTTCTACTCTTAATAGCCTAACCCTTTAGTCATAATATATATGTATATAAAAGTCTTTCTTTTAAAAGTCCAATGCTTTAGAGTCCTAAAATTAATAGCCCAATGCTTTAAAGTCCCACTCTAAAAGTCCTACTCTAAAAGTCCTTCTCTAAATTGCCCAATACTTAAGTCATAATCTAAAAAGCCCGATACTTAAACTTCCCACGCTAAAACGCCCAATGCTTAAAAGTCCTACTTCAAAAGACCAATGCTGTAAAGTCCTATTCTAAAAAGCCCAATGCTATAAAGTCATTCTCTAAATAGCCCAATGCTTAAAAGTCCCAATATCTGTTCTATATGTGATTGTGTGTACCAGAGCTTTGGTTCAAATTTCCTATATTTGTTGTCTTACAGTTGTGTAAATGATAATTTATCCGGTAGAAAAATGGTTTGGCCCAGGGTTTCAGGCTCTCTCAGTAAGGCGGGGGAAAATTCATATATTTAGAAGACAATTTATTATTCTCACAGAGAAGGAGGGGAGTGGGAGGGGGATAGGGCCTCCAGCACTAGATGCAATATCAACAGTTTATTTTCTTAAAATCTCATACCTTTCATTTTCAGTCATATTTCTGGGGGATTCCATTCTATAACTTATGTCAAATCATCTTATTTTTCTTACAATACGGTCATCAGGGCCGGAGGAAAATTTTCACATTTTCTAAAATATCAATTCCTGGATGATAAGATTGCAAATGCTTCCATTGTCTGCAATTTTTAAACAATTCTTCTGGGATTTAGGAAAAATTGGATTTTGGCAAATACCTTAAAGCAGATTTGAAAAATAATCCTGATATAAAGAGGAATTAGCCCCTGCCCCCCTTCCTGTTCTTTGTTAAAACTAAATTCCAAAAATTGAAATTTTTAAATCAGAATCGAGAATATATTTTAAGCGTAAAATCAATGATATCTTTGGTGAAAGGTATCAAAAAGAATAAATTGGCTGGGAGGTAATTCTGAAAGGATATAATAATGTTATAATAAGACTTGTCAAAGTCTAACAATGATTTATTGGGCATTTGACATGTTTCTTATACTTCTTTTAAAGAAGTTTTCTTGTTGTATTAAGTCTATTAATCAACAGATAGGCTAGATCTTGATTTTTCTGACTCTTACTTAAAAATTTTGAAACCTAAATCGTTGATATATATGTTATTTATCTGTCTGTCTGTCCGTCTGTTTGTATCCAATAAATGTTAAAACGAATGACAAAGTTTTTACCACAAACTCACATTTTCTAACCCCTATAACTTTGCAACCTGATGATGTAAACCTGTGATATTTCAAACTTAGACTATATGATCTAACAGAATTAATAGTTTGAAATATCAAAGGTCTAGGAAAACGGGTTGCAAAGTTATAGGAATAAGAAAATCAGAGTTTGTGGCAAAAACTAATTTCCTTTGAGTGGCAACTCACATGACACCAGGAAAGAATTAGCTTTGGTTAAAGATGAAAAATGTTGCCTGGTAAAAATAATATGAACGGCTTATACTTTAAAAAATTCACCAATTTGAAAAAAAATTGTGACAAATTTTGTTTTGCTGAGATTATGAAAAATGGCGAATTTAAGAGCAATAAGAAAAAGCTGAAATTGCTTCTTTAAAGGAGGCCGCGATATCCCCCTTAAATAGTATAAATAAATTAACAAATGTGAAGAAGCTTAAAAGTTGTCTTCTACGAATAAGCTTTGGAAAACCCTGCACGTTTCTTTATCATTTGAATAATCAAGTTTTGGTAGCCCCCTAACCCTCCCTCTAGTCTGAAAAATATATTCCATTGGAATAATTAGGAGGGGGGGGGGGGGAAGTAATTCCTAGGTATTATCTACTCTTAAATAAATGTTTCTACAGTAACAGCTTTTACACTAAGACTGTATCCCCCCAAGTAAATTATTCCAGAGTAGATTTACAGTACACAGCAACAGATAGTCTTAATGAGGCCAACCCTTCCTTTTATCATTTATCAAAAGAACTGTTTAGACAGGAAAAGAAAGATTATGTAGTGAGAAATGCAACAGTACCCAACTTCTCTGAAAAATCTTCCAATTGTCCAGACCTATCCTGGAAAGGAGAACATCTGAAAGGATTTTTTATTGAAAGAATTTTCAATTGTCACTTAGATATGAATACAAGCAATGACTAAAAAGTACATAAACGCTAGGATTCAGTCCTAAAAGCGGACAAATAATACATCCCATTCAACATTGCTATGATTGGCAGATCCTGGCTTTCCATGGCTCAAAACAGGCTCGTCAACCCCCTAGCCCATTAAATTCAAAAACTCCATTACTTTCAAATAAAATGATCATCAGACATTTTCAAAAATTTGTTTAAAATTTCCCTGTTCAAAATCTATTTCTCTAGAACTGGTCCCTACTACCTAAACAATTTGGAATTTCTATTCCAAATTTGTCCCTCCGGAATTTAACCTGTTCCTCCCATGAGCCCCAGTACACGTCAATACGTCAGGTATAAATCTTAAATTAAAGAAGTTTCTGCACACGAGAAGAAGTTTCAAGATCCAGGATTTAAATCAAGTTCGGCTCCTTCATTCAGTCTGGCTCAATATTGGTTAAGTTTTTAAAAAAAATTGGGGGGGGGGGTGTCACACTGATTTTTATTATTATTTAAGTGCTATTTTAGAAATCCAATATATCTCGACATGGTTAGTCCAGCGTGGGAGGGGTATTTTACAGGGTTGCCTATCAAACAATTTGATTAGGAGTTTGCAGGTGAAACAGACAAAAAAAGGCTTTCAATTAAAATTTGGTGCAGACTGGTCAATGGGTTCAAGAGTTATGATCGGACATCCAAACCCACACATTTTTTACTACTTTATATATAGACTGAAGGTTTATAATCTAAGTTTAGTTTGGAGGTTCCGCGATTTTTATCAAATATTCTCCTTATTTATCTTTCTCTTGGACCCTCCTATTCACAACAATACCCTCTGTCTGAATATTTATAATAGACCCTCCTATTCACAACGGTACCCTCTGTCTGAGAATTTATAAGGTAAATAGATGTTGAAGATTTCTTTTATAAAAAAGATGAAAATACCATGTAAATTTGAACTCAAAAGTAACTTTTATCAAGAACCCAAAATTAAAAATAATCAAATTTCAGATATAAAATCAAGGATATTTAATTGATCCTTGATCAGACAAAGGGAATGAATCAGATGTGTCTCTCTATTATTAAAAATGCAAGTAAGGTTAACAAACCATTTGAAAAAATAGAGAAGCAAGGGAATAGGCGTATTCCTTTCCACCGTGGCCTGGACGATATTTTTATGGGTGTGTGGGGGGGGGGTGTATTGGGACTCATTCACAATCTCGAAAATAAGATGTTCATCTTCAAACCTCATTTTTTCCTTAAAATTTTCCCAGAAAATGTGTTTTTTTAGCATATTAGCTAACTACATATTTATTCACTATATTAGGAATATAATTTAAAAGGAACGCAATAACAATAATATAATAATAAAAACTAGCTAAAGTTCCGGCGTTGCCCAAGGAAAAACAAACTTTTAATTTTTTTTAGCCGAAGAGACGCCCAGGCTACCCATGAGTGTCCACAAAAAATATCAGCCTATTCGGTCCAGCCGATTGGGCGGTTATGATGGAACATATATACGAATGTCTTGTTTTATTATATACATGATAATTATAAGGGTTTTCCTTCCATATTTATCATAATACAGCTAATAATTAGGGATTTACCCCCAACAGCAGAAATACCCAAATATAACAAATACATCCAGTACTGGGAGATCTTATTTTATAGATATCGAGATCAATGCTTTTTTGATCGCAGATTAATTTATTCTTTTTTTCAAAATCCCCACAACTAAAATGAAGAGATCAAGCGTTGATCCTTAAAATGCCTTAAAATCCTTAAAATGCCTGCAGTGGATATCGATATCAAGAGATTGAGCGATCGGGTATCCAACGACCAACACCTAAGTTCCCTGGAATTCAAAGAGATGCCAATAAAATGTTATAAAAAAGACTATTATTTTTTCCAAAAATTGTTAATTATACAATATTCATACAATATAAATATAAACTAACCATTTTGTTAACAAAACTTTAAAATGTACGAAAAGTCATGTAAAAACTTGCATGTTTATGTATATTGTACATAAATATACACAAATAAAAAGTACTTCCTACCTTTTTGGCGTATTCGTGTAAACAAGAAACAGGATTGGTTGCTGCTATAACAAAATTTTCTCCCTCAACAACCTAAAATATTAAATTCAATGAAATTCTTTTTTCTTTTTCAAAGTACTGCTTTTTTAAATCGATTTTTTTCAATATTTTTTTTCAAAATTTCACGGGCAACGCTAGGCCGGCACTCCAGCTAGACAGTAATAATAATATCTAGCTGAAGAGCCCGGCGTTGCTCAGGTCACTCATAGTTAATCCTGCTGTCTACCCGCGCTTGGTCATATATCATGATTCTAGCTGAAGTGCCCTGCGTGGCCCGTGGAATTAAAAAGTTTCAACTTTTTTAGCCTATGTCACTCCCCGAGTGTTCCCTCAAAAATGTCAGCAAATTCGGTCCAAGGGGAGGTGTGGGGGTAGATCAGAATTGATATAAAGAAAGAAAAACAACAATGGATGGGGATGAACTAGGGTTTAACTGAGAAAATATTCTAAAACTTTTCACTGAGCGAGATGGAAAAGAAGGAAGTAAAGAGAGGGATAGGGAAAAGGAGAAGAAGGATGGGTGAGTATAAGGAGCGGAGAAGGAGGGTGGGGTGAATGAGAGGGATGGGGAAGTGAGGAAAAGGGGGGAAGAAGAGGACAGAAGGAGAAAATCTTAAAACCAAGAAAGAACATTTCCGGTGGGCCTCCCGAGTTCCCCAATCAAAATTTGAGGTAAATAGGTCCAGGGGTATCTGAGTTTTGATCGGACAAACAAACAGACAAACAAATAGAGAAGAAACAGTCCAGTGCGGAGTCCCAAAATCGAGAATAATCTTTAAACTGAATATTTAAAGAATATATAGAAATATTGATATGTAGATATAATTAAGCAACTTCATGTGACTCTGGACAATTTTGGATTAGGTTAAAATAGATAGATAGTCACGTGAAGTTCCCAAAAAATATGGGAGGGGAGGGATTTTACCAGACTTGGATTGCATTTAAAACCTTGGCGGCCAAAAAGGTAAAATTGTTTAATACGTGAGAATATAAAGAACTGTGAGAGTAAATGAATGAAAAGAACTGTGAGAGTAAATGAATGAAAAGAACTGTGAGAGTAAATGAATGAAAAGAACTGTGAGAGTAAATGAATGAAAAGAACTGTGAGAGTAAGTGAATGAAACGAACTGTAAGAGTAAATGAATGAAAAGAACTGTGAGAGTAAATGAATGAAAAGAACTGTGAAAGTAAGTGAATGAAAAGAACTGTGAGAGTAAACGACCATATTTGTAAAAATGACAATGTCCAATTCACATCGGTACCATTAAAGCTTTCTCTGATCAAGTGTGAATTAGATATCCATGTTTTTTTGTTTGTTTTTTAACTGTTCATTTTCATCTGTGGTTTCTTTTCAAAAAGTGACTTGCCTATTTCTTCCTTATATAAAACCATGGAGAAAATATCAGAGACTGAGTCAGCAAAAAAGAATTTTTCTTTTTCATTTTTTTAGAACTAGGTAAATCAGGCAATGTCGTCTTCGCATTAAAGGGACCATTCACTTATTTGGGTAATTTCAGGGTAAACTAAATTGTCTTTGAAAAGTAAGACTATTACCAATCAAGAGCAAATAGGCTGTTTAGTTTACCCTGAAATTACCCAAATAAGTGAACGGTCCCTTTAATGGTCACGTGAAAATACGCTTACACTCCCTTTAAGCAGAATATGTGGGGGAAGGAAAAGTTATATGTCTAAGGCTCAAAACTACATTTATCCACATTTGTCGCCCTTGCCCTTTTACAAGAAGAATAACCACGAACAGTCCTTTAAAAGTCATCTATATATAAATTTGGCTTGTCTGTCTGTCTGTTTGTTTGTTTGTTTGTTTGTTTGTCTGTCTGTCTGTTTGTATCCAATAAACGTCAAAACGGCTGAACCGATCGGGCCCAAATTTTTTGTGATCACCCCAGGGAAGGTTTATGAAAAATCAAAATTTCAAATATTTGTCTCCATCAAAATTCGATCGTCAATAAATTTTTAAAAATTTTGAAAATCCGCGAAATTTTTTGTGAAAATCCGCGAATTATTTTTGTTTTGTTCTACGATGTACACAAAGAGAACATGTTCACAACTAATTTAGAAGATGGGCGCGAAGCGCCCTCTAAGGCTAGAAAGAAGGGCGCGAAGCGCCTTGAATTTCTAGTACTTTATAGTCTATACCCCCTGTAATTGATATAATATACATGAAGCAAAATCTGAAAAAGTTGTGCGACGTGGAGAACTATAAAAGTTTTAGTCAGGGAAGGGGGGAGTCCCTTGGGAGTGGAAAATGACAACCACATATTAATCCATCATCCAACTAGGGATTCTGGTAAAACACTTGGATAGAAAAAAGTTTTGATAGTTTTTAAACTTTCTTTATTTGAAATACTACGCTTCTAGTCTAGCACCAGCTACACCTCCCCCCCCCGTCCCCCACTCAAGTAAAAACAAGGGTCTGTATTTCTAAAAAATTTTCAAAAAAATAAAAAAATTGGGCATAAACAGACAAGTTTTTTCATATACAGTATACACCCCTGGTAAAAATAAAATACTTTTCTTGTTACCTAAATCACAATCACAAAGGATTTTCTATACATTCATTATAAAAATTTTTTTGAAGGAACCTATGGGTACCTGGGGGTTACATATATTAAAAAAAATTTAAAAACTCCTTTAAAAATTAATTTTTCTTTTCAAAATTAATTTATTTTTCAGGGGCAACAACGGGCACTTCAGCTAGTTTGCAGGACCCGGCGTTGCTAGTGGAAAAAAACTTTGAAAATTTTTGTTTTTTAAATATTAAAAAAAAAAAAAAAAATTTGGAATAAAATTAAAAATTCGAATTTTTATAAGCCTTAGACACTCCCAGTCTCCCAGCCTATCCAAGAGTGTCCTCAAAAATGTCATCCCAATCGGTCAAGCCGTTTGGCCGGCTATAGAAGATAAAATTATAAAATTGATCTACTTACCCGAGCATGAGCTGGTCCAGTCTCAGATAGTAGAGTCCATTCAGGGGTACAGCTGAACATCAATCAATCAATATATATATAATATTAATTCTTTAGCTAAACTTGACTTCGCAATCAATTCAGTGGAAAAAGAAACAAACTGCAATTTTGTCAGTGTCTAAAAAGCTTATGCACGAGGAGGGACGGAATTTATGTCAATCAATCTGTTTGTTTATTTATCAATTTGTATATCAATCAATTAATCAATCAATATATCAAACAATCAACCAATCAATATAGCATAGCAATCAATCAATCAATATAGCAATAAATCAATCAATTTTAATATATATCAATCACTCAATCAATTATTCAATCAATCTAAGTTAGTAATCAAATCAGTGAATGAAATTAATTTAACTAAACAAATAATATTAATCGAATAAATCAATCCCACATCCACTTGTAAAATGTCCGATTCACAACCCTTTAAACATTTGTCTCATCGAGGATAAATGAGAACACCTCCCTATTTTTCTAATTGAAAATAGATTAGTGGATTCTCTATTTATACTTTTAAGATGGTTTACTCAAATGACGGTTTAGAGAGAATTAATGTACCTCAGACATACCTTGGAGTCCTTTAAAATTATGACCAATCTCTCAAACTTAAAAAAAAACATCTAAACTTCATCAAAATGATTAACCACTGTTTTTAATGGAATTTGTTTAAGAATAATTTAGAAAAGTTATCAAGAACAATCAAGATCAATCATAATCTAAATACATCAACTTTAAAGCAGAACCCATACTGACGGATGAAGAGGGTGGAAGGGGAGATGGGGAGGGGGAGGTTGAAACCGTCAATTATTGAGGGATGGTTTAATTAATTTGCAGAAGCCATCGAATCCAAGTTTAAACCACAAACCTGATCAATAATCTATTGAATGGGAAGAAGGGGGGGCAGTGAACTGTAGAGGGAGGGGGGAAGGGTAAGTTTTAGAGATTCAACAAATAAAAGACATTAAAATTTAAAAAATAAAGAAGCCACTACCAAAAAAGTTGAATTGTAACTCCGTTATGCTAGTGTCCATTATAATGGCCCATCGTATACAGTGTACAGTGTACACAGTACATCTTGTTTCGAAGAAAATTAGACAATCTATTTAAAATATGGCAGAGAATCTAATTTTGTCGATGGTTTGACATTAAAAAAACCCGGTGGGAAAAGACAGGAATGTTCTTGGCTTGGTTTTGAGATTTTAAGATTAGTGGGTCGACTTAAATAGATAAAAATAGCTAAAATCGTAATCTATAACTAAGCACGGGTAAACGGTGGGATCAACTATGCGTAACTTGGGCAACGCTGTGTTCCCAATAAAGTGGAAACAAGAAAACTAGAAAGTAATTAAAATAAAAACAAAAAATTAATCAAAATATAATCAATCATATCAATCATCAATCAATCAATCAATAAACAAATGTTCCCCAAATCAAATCAAATAAAAAACAATCTTACTTATTCGTCATTGCAATTTCATTGAGGAGCATGGTTGTGTTCTTCACGTCCCCTGAAACCGGAACAGACTCCTCTTCTTCCGGTATTGGTAAACCACCTGAAAATTAAGGGGACTGTAAACATTAATTCAGATGACCACCTGGATATTAAAGGGACTGTAAACATTATTTCAGATGACCACCTGGACATTAAAGGGACTGTAAACATTAATTCAGATGACCACCTGGATATTAAAGGGACTGTCGACGTTATTTCAGATGACCACCTGGACATTAAAGGGACTGTCAACGTTATTTCAAATGACCACCTGGACAATAAAGGGACGTAAACGTTAGTTCAAATGACCACCTGGACATTAAAGGGACTGTAAACATTATTTAAGATGACCACTTGGACATTAAAGGGACTGTAAACGTTATTTCAAATGACCACTTGGACATTAAAGGGACTGTAAACATTATTTCAACTGACCACCTGGACATTAAAGGGACTGTAAACATTATTTCAACTGACCACCTGGATATCAAAGGGACTGTAAACATTATTTCAAATGACCACCTGGGCATTAAAGGGACTGTAAACATTATTTCAAATTACCACCTGGATATTAAAGGGACTGTCAACATTATTTCGAATGACCACCTGGACATTAAAGGGACTGTAAACATTATTTCAACTGACCACCTGGATATTAAAGGGACTGTAAACATCATTTCAAATGACCACCTGGATAATAAAGGGACTGTCAACATTATTTCAGATGACCATCTGGACATTAAAGACTGTCAACATTATTTCAGATGACCACCTGGACATTAAAGACTGTCAACATTATTTCAGATGACCACTTGGATATTAAAGGGACTGTAAACATTATTTCAGATGACCATCTGGACATTAAAGAGACTGTAAACGTTATTTTAATTGACCACTTGGACATTAAAGGGACTGTCAACATTATTTCAAATGACCACCTTGACATTAAACGAACTGTAAACATTATTTCAGATGACCACCTGGATATTAAAGGGACTGTAAACATTATTTCAACTGACCACCTGGATATTAAAGGGACTGTAAACATTATTTCAACTGACCACCTGGAAATTAAAGAGACTGTAAACATTATTTCAGATGACCACCTGGATATTAAAGGGACTGTAAACATTATTTCAACTGACCACCTGGATATTAAAGGGACTGTAAACGTTATTTCAAAAGACCATTTACATAGATATTAAAGGTACTGTTGATTGAACCTCTATTCATAGAATTGCACGTACGATTCACAATGTACTCTTATATATGATCAAGATTGAATGAGATATTCTTATTTTCATAACTAAAGTTGTTGATTATTTTCAACTAAGGTTCTTAGCAAGAGGTGCTTGCAGATTATGCAACAAGGACAATTAAGGATATCGTCAGATTTCAAATCATTATAACAAAGAAACTTTGCTACTTTGATAAAATAAGGGTCCCATTGCGAATCGTTTTCATTGAGGGTCCTTTGAAATTAAGTCCAAGAGCTATAAAATCCCCCTGTCGCCCCATTTTTGTGAAGCGAAAAGTTCAAAAAAGAAATCCAAAAGATATTGTAAAAAAAAAGGGGGAGCAACAATAAACAAAAATGAAATAGAGAGGTAATAAAAGCTTAATAAAAACTTAATGATTATGATTTGAAAGATAAAGGTTAGATGAGGTTGGACAGGAGAGTATAGGGACTGCAGACGTAATTTCAATATAAACATTCCTTTAAAACAACAGGCGGCATGTGTTTGATTTACAACAGTGTCTGGTCAAAAATCGCAAATTTTTGCTACAGAAACAATGCAGTACTTTTTCATAATCAATCACTTTTCTAGCTAGATATCCTGATTTAAAGGGTAATGTTGTGTACCGGATATGATCCTCTCTAAATGGAAGGTCATTTGAAATTACAGATACAGTCCCTTTAACCGTGATTTTCTTAGAATAATGTTTGACCATTTGATTTTCATAGTTTTAGATTAGATGGATATAAAGATATATATATATAAACAGATAGATAGACATACTGACTGACAGTCAGATAGACAGACAGATAGATGTATAGATGAGAATAAATATTACCTGGCTTGGCAATAACAGATAGATTAAGAGATAGATAGATAGATAGATAGATAGATAGATAGATAGATAGATAGATAGATAGATAGATAGATAGATAGATAGATAGATGGATAGACAGATAGATATAAAGATGAATATAAATATTACCTGGCTTGGCAATAACTTTCCCTGCTCCTGACGGATCCGCCATCTGTCTGACTATTGGTAAAGCCTGAAATTAAAGTAGCCTTAAATTTTTTTTATTTTTTTTATTTCAAATCAAAAATGGAAGCATTTTGTTCTCCCGCCGTTCTCATCCAAAGGACTGGTCAAGTTGTTTTAATAGTTCAATTAATTAAACAAAAGCCAATTTTTTCATACTTTATACCCATAAATCTATTTTTGCCCCCCTTATAAACACTTTTTTTAAAGGGGGGGGTTGATTTTTAAAGAAAAATACACCCCTTAGGAGAAAAAATATTAACTTGAAGGCAAAATATATATTTATGGTTGTTTTTTCAAATACACTTTCTAACATGGAAGAAGAATTGTTCAACAAAGTATTTGCCCTCAAAAGTTGATCTGCGCAAGCCTTAATAAAATATTAGGGAAATATTTGAAGAGTTGGACAATGATTTTATAATAAAATAAAAACCCCTGACTAAAATCAAGAACTATCTTTGCTTACAAATAAACTATGCAGTTATTAGATTAATGAAAACAATGATTCTCCTGTGCAGCACCGCGTAAAATTAAAGTGACTGTACGCGTCATTTCAAGCGAACTCCATGCAAAGATGACAATGCCAGATTTACAATGATACCCTTCAAAGCTTTGTCTAATCAAGTATGAATTAGAACTTCATGTATTTTGTTTTTTCAGAGTCCGAATTTAAAGAATTTGAGCCGCGGCTTAAACTTAAGCTGTGGCTCAAATGTGGTTGGTTCCACTTAAAATCGTATTCAATGTGTCAATATTTAAGCCGGTGCTGAATTGAAACCGGTTTTTATAGGATTTGAGACGCGGCTCAAATTCATTAAATTCTGACTCAGAACTTTTTATTTTGATTTGTGGTTTCTCTGCAAACGTAACTTGCGCAATTTTTGCTTATAAAAAAAATGGAGAAATTATCAGAAAAACAACGTTATCTTCAACATTTTTGATCAGATTAAAGTTTTAATGGTACCGTTGTAAATCGGGCATTGCCATCTTTGCATGGAGAGTCACTTGAAATTACACTTACAGTTTCTTTAGCCTTCCTGCTAGAAACTGCAGTACGCTTTGTTTGTAAACAAAGTTATCTTGACTACGATTAAGATCCAGACTAGCAAAGATTATCTGAACTAGAGACAATCTAAAAATTAGCATAATCAGAACCCAACTTATGAATTAATTAATTAATTAAATAATTCCCCCACTGCTACTAACAACATAAACATAACAAATAAACAGGAATGTGTTTTTCAAAAAAATATGATTTTCAATGCTAGAGGGAAAAGAATAGAATTAATTTAAATCTAATTAAAAAAGTAAAAAATGTCATTTCAACATTTTATTAAAAATATGTTTCGAACTAATTTAAGTTTCTTCAATTTTTAAGATTTTCTTCCATCATTTAATCTCGAATCTTAGGCATAAAAAAAAATAAGAAATTTTAAATATTACCTCATAGATGGGGGGATAATATGAACTCTCTCTCCCCCCCCCCCCCCCCCCCCCCCTCCCTCCCTGTACAAATAAGAGTACCTGAGTACTAGCATTATGTTTAGCCTGCTGAGGGAGCTCAGCCTGTCCATAGAATTCATAACCAGCTACATTCAACTGTACTCTAGTCATTGTAATCATTATTAGTATTAGTATTATTATTGTTATTATCAATATTATTATCAAAAACTAACAGAATTTATAACCAGCTATATTCAACTGTACTCTAGTCATTGTAATCATTATTAGTATTATTATTATTGTTGTTATTATCAATAATATTTTCAATAACTAATAGAACTCATAACTAGCTACATTCAACTGTACTCTAGTCATAGTAATCATTATTAGTATTTTTATTTTTGATGTTATTATCAATATTATTATCAATATCTAACAGAACTCATAACTAGCTACATTCAACTGTACTCTAGACATTGTAATCATTATTAGTATTATTAATATTAGTGTTATTATCAATATTATTATCAATATTATTATCAATATCTAACAGAATTTATATCCAGCTATATTCAACTGTACTCTAGACATAGTAATCATTATTAGTATTATTAATATTAGTGTTATTATCAATATTATTATCAATATCTAACAGAATTTATAGCCAGCTATATTCAACTGTACTCCTGTAGTAGTATTAGTATTATTATTATTGTTGTTGTTATTATCAACTTTATTATCAACAGCTCATACAAGTGTATGTTAGTTCAGACATAACTTTTTTTTTGTTTTTAATAATGATTGATAAACAAAAAATCACAATAACATATCTAAGAAAACAATAAAAAAAATCAGATGAGACAATTTAGGTGATAGATTTATGAAAAGCATAAATAATTTTTTTTAAAGAAACATTTTAAAAGGAAAAGGAGCAAACCTGTAATTTCCCAGCATATCTTTCTTACTCCACATCCTCATACTGAATAACAATACATTTTGTGATTTATGTTTTAAAGTAGTCTCATGTTTTATGTGATCTATTCTTTATTTATAAAGTAGTAGTCTTATACTTGGAAAAACTAAATGAACTTGGACTCCTTACGCTGGACCAGAGAAGAAAAAGATTTGACCTTATTCAGACATTTAAAATAATCAGAGGTTATGACAAAGTAGAGGCTGATACTTGGTTTAATCTGGTTGGTTCAGAAGTTGCAAGACCTACTAGACTGACGGCGTATAAGGACAATATAATCCCAAAACACTCTAGAATGGATCTAAGGCAAAATTTTTACTCAAATCGAGTAGCAAATCAATGGAACAGCTTGCCGTTGGATATTAAGGAAGCAAAGTCAATTAATATCTTCAAAAATTTGCTTGATGAGCATTTGTTTAACTAGAAAATCTTTGTGCCAGGACTAGAGAGCAAGGACTAAACCAATGAGGATGCACAATGTGAGGTTAAGATCTCTACTCCGTGAGGTCCAGACCAGAGATTCCCGCTATGTTCCTAACTGGAGCCCTGGGGATTAAACATCAAGTATTCCAAGTAAGTAAGTGTTATCTATTCTATATTTATAAAAAAGTGGTCTTATGTTTTATGTGATCTATTTTTTATTTATAAAGTAGTAGTCTCATGTTTTATGTTATCTATTCTTTATTTTTAAAGTAGTAGTCTCATGTTTTATGTGATCTATTCTTTATTTATAAAGTAGTAGTCTCATGTTTTATGTGACCTATTCTATATTGATAAAGTAGTAGTCTTATGTTTTATGTGATCTATTCTTTATTTATAAAGTAGTAGTCTTATGTTTTATGTGATCTATTCTTTATTTATAAAGTAGTAGTTTTATGTTTTATGTGATCAATTCTATATTTATAAAGTAGTAGTCTTATGTTTTATGTGATCTATTCTATATTTATAAAGTAGTAGTCTTGTGCTTTATGTGATCTATTCTTTATTTATAAAGTAGTAGTCTCTGTTTGCCTGTTTGTTTTTTGTTTGGATGTCATTAACCCCTTGTCATGTTTGTCTCAAATATTGATTAGAGAACGCGGTAGACCCACGGGAATGTTCCTAGCCTGAGTAGGTTGACATTTCTAGGCAAAGCTGGGGTCCCAAGCTACTATTATTATTATTATACAATGATCTTTTAAAGATATCCAATGTGGAATCTCAAGACCGCCAAGGGTTTAACAGGCCAATTCCCACAGTTACCCCTTTACACGGGACCTTGGACTGCCTTACTTATCTTTTATGGGGTTGTCGAATTTTGCCAGAGTAGGTAATTCCGTATGCGTGCTTATATTATTATAGTTTATGTTTAATGTAAAAAATAATTCAAGCTTTTCTTCTTATATGGGGTCATTTGAGTTGCCAAAAAAAATCTGATGGATTCAGTCATTTTGACGTTTATTGGATACAGACAGACAATATATGTATATATTGTATATATATATAAAGTTGTAATCTCTGTTTGTCTGTCTGTTTATTTGTCCAATCATAACTCAGGAACCCCCGGACCGATTGTCACAAATTTTGGTTGGGGAACTGGGGAGGCCCACGAGAATGCTCTTAGTTTGGTTTTGTGATTCTAAGTTGAGAGTGGGTTGACTTTCATAGCGAAAATTTAGTTTCCCGGTAAAATCGTTCAAGTGCGGGTAAACGAAGGGAGTAACTTTTAGTAACCTGGGCAGCGCTGGGTTCCTAAGCTAAAGCTAGTGTATATATATAGGGGTGTATATAAATATAGCGTAATGGATGGAGGGTAAAAGGAGGCAGGGGTATTTTCAAGAAAATTGTCTCTTAATCAGTAATTAAATCTTTTTCATCCCGTCTAATTTCCTTCAAACCATATCATTTTACTTTCGATGGAGGTAGGGATATTATTTTTCAGAATTACCCCCCCCCCGCACAGGGGGAACATGATTTTTGACGGTTTAATGGGGGAATGGAAAATTATACATCAAAACGTAATTTTTTTTTTATTATTTTTGATACTTTTCACCCACCATTTTTTAGGGAAAAAAAATAATTTTCAAAAAAGGGGGAAATCATTTTTCAAGAAAATATTCACCCCTGACTGAAAGATTATTGAAACATAAAAAAAGGGATGGAAGGGATAACAGGAAATTAAAAGATAATATTAAAAATTAGTGCTTAGAATTTATTTTGATCCGCCCAGTAAATAAGTGGATTCGGTTACGCTCCTGTATATTTCTTTAATTTTTGCTAATTTCCAAAAGCAGTGCTAAGGAATGAATCAAATTCATTTATTGCGGATCCGGTTTCGGATCGAGAAAATGAATATTATTTAAGTTTTAATAACTTTTTGTACAAAAAAAAAACTTTTAAAAACGTTCTTATGCACAAACTTTATTTACAATTTCATAATCACTTAAAATGTGCACGTTTTGAGATCAAAAAACTTGAATCCTTATTTTGATATTAAATCAATAATATCTCAACAAATTATAAACCCCTCCCCCCTCGCTCCTTTTCGTATGTTTCAGTTCATTGGTAATATTTATTCCTAGCGGAAAAAAATAGGGTTTATTAACTGAATTATAAACAATAATTGATATTAAATGAAAAACTAATGATTTTTAGTGTTTAGTATATAAGTTTTGTATATTCAAATGTTCGGGACCAGAACTCCCACCAATGGCAGTGCAGAATTATTGTCACATGTCTCCGACTGTATCATGTGACAATGATACTGCACTGCCATTAGTGGGAGTTCTGGTCACGTGCAGTAATTCTAGAAAATAAACACCCCTGAGAAAACGGTGTATTAACCTTCCTTACACCAATGTTCACTTTATATATTAAGAGTGACAGGGAATTATGGGTTGATTATTTTCTCAACCAAAACAATAAACAATAAACAATATTTCTTTTACATTAGATTTGTTATTTTGCTCAAAAACATGGAGAAAATTTCCTTCCTTTTTCCTTTCTTAGGAATTACTAGCTATTTTACTACAGTGGGTCCTATAAAACCAGTGCTTAAGCTCTGCAAGATCTGGATCCGGATCTGAAAAAATATGCGGATCCATGGATCAGTATCCAAGGGGCAAAATATCAACCAAAAACTGAAAAAAAAATTACTCTCAAACCCCAAATCTGAACTATTAAAGAAAAAGGGATTATAAAAATTTCCTGATTTCTGAATGGTTTATCAAGTTTTAATATAAAATAATCGAAAAAAAAAATTTTAAATTCTTTGTTAAAAAAAATCTTATAGAAATGACCTTGATACGGATTCATTTTTTTCCAGTGCGGATCCAGGATCCGGATCCGCTTAAAAATTAAATGGATCATAAGCACTGCGTAAAACTGTGAAAAAAAGAAGACGATATTTAAGCAGTTTTCTTTCATTTATTGTTTTATAAAACAGATAGTTGTACTTATTAATTGAAATGGTTCTGTGTCCACTGCACAATTGCTATATCTCTTGTATTTGGACTATTTTTAATCGAGAGTCAAATGTTCACTTTATATATTAAGAGTGACAGGGAATTATGGGTTGATTATTTTCTCAACCAAAACAATAAACAATAAACAATATTTCTTTTACATTAGATTTGTTATTTAGCTCAAAAACATGGAGAAAATTTCCTTCCTTTTTCCTTTCATAGGAATTACTAGATATTTTACTACAGTGGGTCCTATAAAACCAGTGCTTAAGCTCTGCAAGATCTGGATCCGGATCTGAAAAAATATGCGGATCCATGGATCAGTATCCAAGGGGCAAAATATCAACCAAAAACTGAAAAAAAAAAAAAACTTTTTAATTAAAGAAAAAGAGATTATAAAAATTTCCTGATTTCTGAATGGTTCATCATGTTTTAGTATAAAAATAATCGAACAAAAATTTGAAAATTCTTAGTTAAATAAAAATCTTAAAGAAATGACCTTGATACGGATCCATTTTTTTCCAGTGCGGATCCAGGACCCGGATCCGGATCCGCTTAAAAATTAAATGGATCCTAAGCACTGCGTAAAACTGTGAAAAAAGAAGACGATATTTAAGCAGTTTTCTTTCATTTATTGTTTTATAAAAACAGATAGTTGTACTTATTATGTGAAATGGTTCTGTGTCCACTGCACAATTGCTATATCTCTTGTATTTGGACTATTTTTAATCGAGAGTCTGACAGTCGTCTTCCTTAACCAAGGACTTTTTGTAAAAAGTCGTCTTCCTAGTCCAAGTAAATTTTAAAGATTAGGGGAATTATGGATTTGTGATTTCGCTCAACAACAAAAATTAAGATTGAAATCTTTAATTTTTTCAATCATAACTCCTTTTCTTAAAAAGCTTTAGGGAAGAACAAAACTATTATGAATTTCTAATATGTAACAGTGCTACGAGGTCACAAAGTCGAACAAAAAGTTTGTGGGCAAAAACCTCAATATATCTTTGCAATAGAAGATTTATTAAAGGAAAAGTAATTTTGCCGAAAACGCGGAAAAAATACGTTTTTCAAAAAAAAAAAACTCCCAAACTCCTGGCAAAAAAAATCCCAAACAATTAGATTGTAATCTAGGGTTGAAATCTTACATTGGAACCCTGGTTTCAGGGTTGCCAAGAAAATATCAGGGATTCAATAGCGACATAATTTTTGTTCACAAGTTGGAAAATATTGTTTTAAATGTTTTTAGACTGACCTGTGTTTAAACTCAAAATTATAGGGTTCAAGAAATTTAAAGTCCACATGTACTCCTTTCTTAGCAGCAATCTCGTGCAGTTCTAGAATATTAATTTTATCAATCAATCAACCAACCAACCCAAATAGGTTCTAGTACAATAGATGGCAACGTAGAATTTCTACACTCTCAGTACAGTTGTATTCTGTCGTCACAAGTGTCAATTCAGTTTTTGTGTCCGACAAAAATATTAATAATAGTGATAATTTTGGAATAAAGTGCTTTTCTTACAGTAAAGTAAGTGCAATTATATGTGTTCTTTATTTTCTGTTTTTACACTTTTTTATTTAATCTTGGAAAACATGTCAACCAATGAGAGATAATTTCGTTTTCCTAGTTATATTTGACACTTGTGACGTTGTGTATAAATGGTTCATTTCTCTGTTGCCACCTATTGTACTTGATAATCTATTTGAACCAACCGGACCATCAATCAACCCAAATTTCTTCTGGTCAAAATATGACTATGGCTTTCAAAAGGTACATCTTCAAACACAGAACTCAAAAGCGTTGTTCATAAAAAAAAAAATTAGTGGCAAAAAAGGGGTTTTAAGAAGGGAAGACAAATAGCCTTAACTTGGCCAATTTTTAAATATCGAAAAACTAAAAAATGTACCGTAATCAGCGGCCTTACGCGGATCGTTAAATACCCATATAGGCATGTTCTGAAGAATTTTTTTAGAGATTTTGAAAATTCTTTAAAAATTTACCTCCTTTTTTGTACATACCTGATGTTGCCGTGACTCCTATTCTCTTGGCTGTATTAAACATGGTTAGTTTTTTTTCTTTAGCTGTCTGGTACTTGGTGTTAGACAGAGCCTAATAATAATATGGTTAGTTTCTTTCTTTAGCTGTCTGGTACTTAGTGTTATAAAGAGCCTAATAATAATATGGTTAGTTTCTTTTCTTTAGCTGTCTGATACTTAGTGTTAGACAGAGCCTAATAATAATATGGTTAGTTTCTTTTCTTTAGCTGTCTGATACTTAGTGTTAGACAGAGCCTAATAATAATATGGTTAGTTTCTTTTCTTTAGCTGTCTGGTACTTAGTGTTAGACAGAGCCTAATAATAATATGGTTAGTTTCTTTTCTTTAGCTGTCTGGTACTTAGTGTTAGACAGAGCATAATAATAATATGGTTAGTTTCTTTCGTTAGCTGTCTGGTACTTGGTGTTAGACAGAGCCTAACAATAATACAATTAAATTTCTTTCTTTAGCCTAATAATAATAATTCTAATTTTATAATTCTAATTAGACAGAGCCTAATAATAATATGGTTAGTTTCTTTTCTTTAGCTGTCTGGTACTTAGTGTTATACAGATCCTAATAATAATATGGTTAGTTTCTTTTCTTTAGCTGTCTGGTACTTGGTGTTAGACAGAGCCTAATAATAATATGGTTAGTTTCTTTTCTTTAGCTGTCTGGTACTTAGTGTTAGACAGAGCCTAATAATAATATGGTTAGTTTCTTTTCTTTAGCTGTCTGGTACTTGGTGTTAAGACAGCGCCTATCAATAATACAATTAAATTTCTTTCTTTCGCCTAATAATAATAATTCTAATTTTGTTAGTTTTATAATACATTTTCCCTAAAATTCTTTTATTTTAAGAATGATGATTCAAATCTAGTGCACACATTTTTCTATGTAAGTAGAGAAAGTCACCGAGGTTGCCATCAGAGAGGTCCAGGCGGCATTTACTAGGATTTACCAAATGATGTAATGGATAAAGTATTCTAACACAAGTTGGGAAAATTATTATTCTTTGATGGGGAGAGGATATGTTAACAGATAAATATCCCACCTTACGACTGTAAGCTAAGTTTCAAGTGACCCTCCATGCAAAGATGGTAATGTCCGATTTTCAACGGTACCCTTGAAACCTTAATCTGATCAAAAATGTGGAAGTTCTGACTCAAAAAGTGTTGATTGTTTTTCTCCATTGCTTCTAATAAAAAAGAGAAACCGCAAATAAAAAAGTAAAACAGTTTAAAAAACAAAAATATTGATATCTAATTCATACTTAATCAGTCAAAGCTTTCAAGGGTATCTTGGTAAATCGGGAATGGACATCTTTGCATGGAGGGTCACTTGAAAAAAACAAATACAGTCCCTTTAAATGACGCAAATGCGTGGATTAACTAACCTTGAGAGCAGCGTTTTGACGCGCACACTTGAGGTTAGTTCCTCTCCCCTCGTATTCCTCAGTTCCAATAAACAACTTCACCTGGATATATGTATAAATAAAGTTCACAATAGCACTGCAAGTGTATTCTCCGTCCCAAAATGTATTTATAAATTGACTGTTCGTGTGATTTCAAGTGACCTTTCATTTGTAGAGTGGCATAATCGATTTACAAATTACAATGGTACCCTTTAAACCTTTGTTTGATCAAGGATCTCATAGATATTCTTATTTATATACCGGGAAATTAAGTGCAAAGAAACCGCGCAAGTGTACACTGGATCCGCACTGGAAAATGGATCCGGATCAAAGTCATTACCTTAAATTTTAATAAACCTTTTATAACAAAGCAGAATTTTCAATTTTTTTTCAATTTTTTTCACTTATTTTTATACTAGAACATGATGAACCATTCAGGAATCAGAAAATTAAATTTTTATAATTTTTTTTTCAATAGTTCAGATTTGGGTTTTGAGCGTAAAAAGTATTTTTTGAAGTTTTTGGTTGATATTTTCAAGATCCGGATCCGTATCCGGATCCAGGAAGCCAAAATCTTGCGGACCCAACGAATCCGGATCCTAAGCACTGGTTTAAAGGGTAAAACTGTGAATCGGAAATACCTCTGTTGAGTTGGAAGGTCACATGAAATTATGCTAACAGTCCCTTTAAGCCCGGTCCTATTGGGAAATGTGATACGAGAGATGGAATTATATATGAACCTTTGCAAAAAAAATCAATTGGTAAATCAATCAATCAATCAACCACTCAATCAATCAATCAATCAATCAATCAATCAATCAATCAATATTAAGTTTACCACATATTCGGTCATCTGAGGGTTTCCAGCTTCAGGATCCTGAACCTTCTCAAACCTGGAAGGGAGAATTCGTAAATATAAAAAAGGAGAATTCATTTTAAATTGAAAATGGAGGTATAGAGAATGAAAAATGTTTTGAAGACTACAATTGGTGATTTAGAAGATTTGAGAAAAACAGGTTAGCAGTTTTCCTGTAAAAAATTAATAAGAGAACATATATTTTCAACTCAAGACAAGTAACTTTTTTTAGGATTTTAAAATTTTGGGACACATTACCCTATATATATTCATCCTTTACATTTGTCGAAAGCAAAATTACATTAAACAATATAAAAGTTTACAAACTAATACTCTTTTCTCTGGATATCGCATTTTATACTTGACAGGGTTTGCCAAAAAAAAAAACAGGTACAATACAAGACTTTTAGCATGAGTATAGTTTAGCTATTCAGAGGTGGTTTTCAGAAATGGAGTTTTCTTGGTCCCAGTCTAGTGTTTTGGGACTCATTACCAATTTAAATACGTTTTCTTAAAAACATAATTATTTGATTCTAATTCAAGAAATCAGAACTTCCCTACGTTTTTTTTATTTTTAGATTTTTTTAAATGTGGCTTTAAGAAACCTACCTCTCGACCAGTTTGTTGGTGAATGCAAGTTCATGTAGCTTAGCCAATGCCTTGACAGGGTCAATCTAGATACGATACATAGATAAATGGATGGAGATAGATAGGTGGATGGGGATAGATAGATAGATGGTTCGACTAATATGTTTATGCCGTGTATGTTTAAAGTTTGTTTACTAACAAAAACTAGTTTTAACTTTTAAGTAGTATGATTTGCGTAGAAATCTGTAGTTGATTAAGCAAAATAAACACGTCACAATCTAGCGTACATTTTACTCCCCCTATCATGACGGGGGTCGATACATAGACACATGGATAGATGGATAAATGAATATATGAACATATGGGTGATAAATGGATAAATATCAAGATGAATGCAAGAATCTAGCCAGGACATTAACAAGTGTTTTATTTTAAGCTGGGGTTTACTGGTTGGTTTAAAAGGCCCTACCACCTATTTATATTCTTTTCTTGTCTGTTTTTTTTTGTTTGTTTTTGTGTGGTCTTACATGATCCCGGGGAAGGTTAATGGATGGTAAGAATTGAAAAATTTAGATTTTTTAAAATCCACGAAAAAAAATCATTGAATGAGAAACCAAGTATTATAAAATATGGTCCTATCATCATGTTAAATATATCTACCTGAGCTGGGGGTTCACTAGCTGGTTTAACAGGTCCTATCATCATGTTAAATATATCTACCTGAGCTGGGGGTTCACTAGCTGGTTTAACAGGTCCTATCATCTGCTCTTCAACTTCACTCTTCAGGGTAGAGTTAGACGAGGTCACAAACATCTATAGAATAGATATAGATTGACAGATATGACAAATAGATAGATAGATAGATTGAATTAGATAGATAGATAGATAGATAGATAGATGGATTGACAGATATATTAATAGAAAGATGAATAGATTTATAGATCAAAGATAGATGAATAATGGATAAGATAAACACCATAGATAGATAAATATAGAGAAATGGATAGATATACTATAGAGAGATGGATGGTTTTCAGATTAGGATAATGGTAAGGACCTGTAAAACCCTTATAGATATATATATATGGTTATCGATATATCGTGGTGGTGGTTAATAGTTAGATAGAAAGATGGACAAGTAATTATATGACTGAACTCAGAAGAATTATTTATATTTTTTCCAAAATTTAATTTTTACCTGGTTTTTTATTCCACTATTGGGGTATTCTTGTTTTATTTGTGCCCAGGTTCCAGCTCCCTTAATTAATATTTAATTCATTTTTATAATAAATAATAATAGGAGCTCCTGGGGGGGATAAAAATTTGGCCCCCTCCCTAGATTTATTCCTGCATACGCCCCAGGGGGCGGACACGTCATGTATGCTTGTCTGTAACAAAAGAGTGTGTGTAAGTAATACCGAACCGAAGGTGTGTACTGTAGGTATATACAGTACATACGAATCTCGGTATTTGTACAGTCTAGGAGAGTACATTTGTTTATTATTAATTGTTTACTTAAAAATAAGTTTAATATACATGTTATATATTATTTATACATTTAAGTCAACACTATAAGCCAAATTTTCATGCAAAGAATATAATTTGATTAAAGTTTACAATAAACTACTCTTTATTCAAGCTTATTTATAATTGACGACATTGTTCTGCAATTTCCTTGACTGTAGTCATGTTGTGCGTCAGTACCAAAAGAGTGTGTGTGTGTGTGTGTGTAATAAGGAACTCGTCTGCAAAGTAGTGCTACTGGATTTCTCATGTCAGACCAGCGCCATTTCCCTTCCTTTTATTCTTATTCCCTGATACGCCCTTGTTATATCTAGGGGTAATTCTGTAGATCTGTTATTTGAGGGTCACTTAAATAACGTCAAGAATGTCCTCCAATATTTTACTATACAGATATATTATCATTAAATTTGATATTTAAAAACAACACAACTGTTAGTGACCTAAGAGCAGTGTCTAGAATCCATTTCATTTTAATGCAGATCCGGATCCAGGTTCTGATTTTTTTAACAAATAAAAATGTTCGCTTATTTTAATGCTGAAACTTAATAAACCTTTCATCGATGAGGAATTTTTAATTATTCTCTTATTAATTAACAATTGAGTTTGAGGTTTGTGCTTTTAGAGCAAAATTTATTTTTTATCGAACTTGGATTTGATATTATTCCCCTAGGATCATGATCCGAATATTTTTGCGGATCCGGATCCTAAGCACTGCTTAAGACAACCCAATTTTGAATTGATAAAAGCATCCTTAGGCTTTTATGGCTTTCTATTTCTATTGTGAGCATTTATTCTCAGTATACATCATAAAACAATAACAAAAAAAGGTTGCGGATTTTAAATTTTTTTTTCGTGGATTTTCAAATTTTAACGAAAATCGAATTTTATTGGAGGCAAATTTTTGAAATTTTGAATACACATAAACCTTCCCTGGGGTCATATGAGATCTGAAGGGAAGGTTATTGTTTATTGTTTTATAATGAATTCAAAGATAAAATGCTCACTATTGAAATAGAAGATGGGCGAGCATTGTTCTGAAAATCACAATAGACTTACATGAGGTTGGATGGTTGAGAGGTTTGCTTGGTTAGATCCCTGCACCTGGCCATACATAGTGTATGCGCCCCTAAACAAATACAATATTTCAGGAGCATGGGAGGATAAGTTCTCTAGGAGGTTACTGTACCTTGATTGCTCTGTATCAGGGGCCAGGGTATATCCATAGCTCCAATTTTGATAATATGGATTAGGATTCATCGCGACAAAACGAAATTCTGAAATATCAAACCAAATTCTGATAAAAAAGTATTGTTAAGTCTTGATGTTTCCTCTTTTAAAATTGGTTTTATGAAAAGCTGGAACAAATTTTACTTAACAAAAACTTTAATCAATTTAAAAAGTATTAAAATATAAAGTTCATTTCATTTACATCTTTTTAATACGCTTTTTAAGAATGTTTTTGCTTTCGTCGATATTCGATAAATATTTAAAGCGCACCGATGGAATTATTGCCGCGACAAATTCTAACAGATTAATTAATAATATATTTTTCAGAGGTTAATAAATGTCGTCTCTTACTTTAATTTTTTTTAACTTTTCTTTAATACATATCTTTTTAGTTTATAGTCTTTGAATGATTAATTACTAATAGCATAACTGCAAAGGGATCTGTGGGGTGGATTAAAGGATTAAGGGGAGGGGGGGGGGTTC